TTGACGTGGTATCAATATCTACTGTTGGACGTGTTTGTTGTAGTGTTAATTTTTGTTTTCTTAGTTACATTTTTAGTGTATAAGGTTTTTAAACGTATTCGTAAATACACTTTTAAAAATGACAAGGTTAAAACTAAGTGATAATTAATAATGATTATTATTATAACTGGAGTTTGCACTTAAATACAAATCGTGTTAAATTTATTAGATCTACACAGTGATTGACGTTTTTAATTATTATTATAATTAATTTAACTATTTTTTTTTTTAGTTTCAATAATATAAGATGTTCCTAGCCTTGGTTATCTAAATTTTTACTAGTAAAATTCATTATTTTATAAATTGTTATTACTACAAAGTTTATTATAATTATTATTTGGATTAAATAGCTTTTGTGTACATTAAGATAAATAAATGTGCGTTAGAATAGAATACATTTTTTGTACTATTAAAGTGATAACGCATAGTAGCAATCGTTTTTTAAAGAATATTCACTGGGCCATAAAAAACACTTTTGTTATCATAAGTCAAAGAGCAATTGACTTTTAAGAATAAATGTATCACAAAATAGTATTCATTTTATTAAATCATCTAACTTTGTAAAAAAAATTGGTTCTGTTAAAGCTTGAAACACTATATGCTGATAATTTATATTAAATGTATTGATTTGTTATTAACTTATTAATACTTCCATCTACTATCTCATAAAACATTTGATATTTATTATCATATTTATTTTGACTGTTGTTATTACTTATTACCTACTATAGTTATTATTATTTAAATGAAAGTGTTGTGTTTATTGACGTTGTTATCCATTCAATGGTAGTTGGTTCACTAAAATAAATATAAATGCAATCGAAAAAATAGTGTTGTTTTATATAATAATTAATAATAAATCATATGCATATTAAAAGAATCTATTTGTGAAAAATATAAAACAGAAAAAAATAAGAACTAGTCTCCGATAGTAATAAGTATTAATAACAACTGAAATTTAAAAAAAAAAGTTATTAATTTATAACTATAAAATATTTTATTATTTTTTTTTTTATTTAATTTGCTTTTTATGTAACTATAAAATATATTATCTATTATTTAAATCACAACAAGATAACTTAACATACTCACATACTTATTATATACATATATAGACATTGACAATTTAAATTTTTTTTAGAATGTTTGGTCGTTTTTTTGGATGGAGGATTGATTTCAAATAACCCTACTTTAGATACATTGACCGAAATCGAGGAATATAATTTAGCATTATACAAAACAAATAGGGCTCATGAAATACACGATCCAAGCCTTGTAGTTTCTGTTGAAACGAGATCTATTCCTGTGACTGAGGTACAATGTACATAATGTTCTGTCTTAATTAATATTGTCGTTTGATTATAATGAAATAGGTATTCAGTAATAATATTTTATTAAACTGAACTTTTTATTTTCGTTGTAATAATATTATTTTAATATGAACAATAATAATGTATATTCTGTATTTTGTGTTTGGTTTATGTGAAAAATTTAGACATTTTTAAACCGAGTAGTGTGAGTGATAGCTTGCGGCTGGTATTTGGATTCTCAGCGTTGGGTCTTTTACTCATTGACCAAGCTACCCAATCTGATGGTCGTGTTGTGGACAGAGCAAGGTCGTTGTGTTACAAAACAAAAACCCGAGTTCTTCAGGTAATTATTTTTTTTGTTTATTTATTTTTTTTTTTTGTCTATATGAGTTCATATTTTTGATCGTTTGAGTTTTAATTTTTGGTTTTTAGGTTTTGCCCACAACTATCAGAAGATATAGCTATGGACGAAAAAGATGATGTTAAACTAGTCAAAATTCTTTGGGAAACCAAGTGGACATAGTGAAAAAACAATAATAAAGTCTGTAAACTGGTACAGTTATTGAAATAATTTATGTACTTATTATTATATTTAAGATATCGTATAACGTATAATTGTTTTATCTTTATATTTCTCATTATATTTTTTGATAGTACACTTTGTAGTTTACATATAATATATAATTTAATATATTGCTTTACATTCATAGAAATATAATATATCTATCTATTTCTAAATATTTAAATTTATTATAACAGTGCATATTATTATTAATATTTATTAAAAACTAAAGGAATACATCATTACACTTGTGATTTTTCTTATATCCTATGGTAACACTAGTATACATTGTTAAATGACAATAATATAATATAATATTATGTGTGCATGTATGTATATTATAATTTTACAATACTTGTATGAGGTTAGGGACTTTGATTTTAAATAAAACCCTTTTTAAATTTTTGGTGCTCTGACAAAATTCAATAAAATTCTATCTTTCGTAGTGATAATAATAATCAATAAATATTATACATTTATAAAGTCAAGGCAGTATCACATTAATTTGGCGCAAATTTAATAATTCTTTATTTATTTACCTAAACAGAGTGCTGAAATTACTATTAGACATCGTAATTGTTTTTTTTTTAACAGATAATAATAATAAACGTTGGTCTACGTTCAAAAATACGAATGGTTAAAAATTATTTAAAAATATTTATAACTCCTTTATTTTCAAACTATTACTCGGACTCTTTTGCACACCGTGCGCGCGTAATATACCGTCTACGACGAAAATTTATCCATCTATCTACGTCCTTATCGATCAATATATCAATAATGGTTTTTGTAAAAATCAAATTTCGGGATGGGCGTCTATCCGGGAGGATACGATCGACTTTCCGCGTGAGTCGTATTCGTCGTACGCGACGTTTATAGTCTAATGAATTTCTATCGTTCGATTTCTTTTCGAACGATTTTTTTTTCCAAATACACATCGTATATGACGAGACGAATGTTTTGTGTATTAAACTATAATTGGCGTCTGTCTCTCAAGCGAAATCTGGAACTGTCGTCGGCAGGCAAGCTACTTATGGAATGGGAAAATTAAAATTAAAATCTTACACTTTTTGTTCACTTATTTGGTATTTTTGTTTCTCTCGTCAGAGAGCTAATCAGTCATTCAATTCATTAATTAACTAACACGAACTCACATACAACGTCCTGTGACAATTTTTACGAGTGTCTCGATTTAAATCGGTTTTCTCTGCACACTACACGACTAAACCGCGATGATTTATTGAACTCAAACCGTCTCGTGCGGCAGAACTCCTCTAAGTTTTGTAACCTTTATTTGAAGAACGGCGTTGCGTTCACTAAAAGCGCTTCGAGGAAAAAGCTAATTTTTCAGTCAAATATATACCATCAGCAGTACCTATTGCTAAGAAAATATCATCCTATACTCCCATTAATCTCACAATAGCACAGGCACTCGATACATATTTTATAAAAAAACGTTATTACAATTATTATTGTTCACCGGGCGCAAAGACTATTACTTTCAAGGCTTACTCGATCTCCCTCCCGAAAAATAATAAAATACACTTACGCGACGGGGCGGCTTTCGTTTGGGCGAATAAACAAATAACAATCGTTTGGGTGAATATAGCGTTTATTTTCCCATTTCTGACTAAGACTGTTAGTTACTCTAACCGGTATGGTTAAAATAAACCATACTTAATTTATTATCTTGACTGATTTTTATTATGGGTCTCCTTGCCATTTGCTTAATAACCTATTGATGTGTTTCCGGTTTGACACTTTAAAACGTTGTCATCAACGGCAGCCGAAACGATGTAATAACAATTTTAATAGTATACATAGTAGTGAATGTACATAAACTTTTCGTGGAATGTAGATGATGGCACTGTTTAAGTGTCAAGAGCCGAGCTATCAGTATAGGTGCAATAGTAATAATTTCCTGTCAAGCTGCAGTCAAATAGAATGAATGTGAGGTTTATTACAACCATACCGGTAAATTGGCAATAGAGCTCCATATATATTCTGAAGCGATGACCTGGCTGATAACCCAAGCAAAACGCGTCATTATTTTGTTAGAATGTAAACTGCCAATAATGAACCCTGTGGTACAATAATAATAAATTGTAACCAGCATTTTCACGCAAAATATGTATTGTCAGTAACACGACCATATTGACAGTTACATGGTATAGGATATTTTCTTAACAGCAAACATGAAAAACCTTATTTTCTCGGCAACCTCATCTTTTCAAATAGGTACAAAACACTGGGAAATTCTGCCACACAACGGACTGATTCAAATAAATAAATCTGATATAACAGACAATGCACGATAAACTTTCATTTAATGGACGCTCATCAAATAAATTGTACACCAGAAAGACGACATGTGTGTTCAGTGTATAATTAATTAATAATTAGTGACTCTGACGAGCTAAAAATATAAATAATGAAAATAAGTGTGGAGTACAGTACAATTTTACCCGTCCATGAAATAACAACCCGCCACTGCTATTAGTATTGAACACCGATATAGTTTAATACAACACAAAAAGCTGCTATAAATCCATCATATACGTATTTGGAAAAATCGGATGAAAAATGGGCTGATAGAAATCATTGAACCTAAACGTCGCGTACGACTGTTTCACGCGAAAGTCGATGAAGCCCTTATCCCAATTTTATGATCGTAAAGAACATAAACTCAAATATTTTAGTCGTAACAAATCGACTATCATTAACAACAAAATAAGTAATATTTTGAAAACAAAGAGTTATAAATATTTTAAATATTTTAACCATTAAGCGTATGAACTATCTGTTAAAAACACAATTACATCTTCATAATAAATTTCCTTTTCTATTTAGGCATAATAAATAAGGTATTAAGTAAAAC